CTTATTTAGATATTTTACTAATAAATATTTATTTTTTTACTAAATATTTTAACTGACTAATGCATACTTTTACACATAAGTGATTTTTCTACCTTTGCTTAATTTTATTTACTTACAAATAATTTTTTCTCTAAATATTTTTGTATACAAGTGAGCTTTCTTTAAGTAAATTTTTATTTATGAGCTGTATTTTAGCTTCTAAGCCAACTTTTTACTCATGAGTAATTATTTTTAAGAATATTTATTGGTATACAAAGAAAGATAAAATAAATTGCTCATACACTGTATAAAGAAAACTCGACAACCAACAAAAAAAACTTGTTCTAAATAAGTAGCCAAATTAAAAACCCAAAGAAACTACATAACAAAATTTGAAAATAAACACTATTAAAACACTTCAGTACATATGCTTAAATAAGAGAAAGAATAATCGAATTTGTAATAAAAAAAAATAGAGATGAACAACGAACTGAAGAAACAAAATTGACTTAAAGAACTTATCCAACAAAGAATATATTGTTGTAGCTGTGAATTCCACTAGAGATAAAATACAATTAAACACTATAGAAACGAACACAAAAAATAAAAAATACAAAGTTATTTTGAATATACATAAAATTAAATTCTTAAATTATGAATATTCTACAACAAAAACTAATTACTTCCCCACAGCAAATAACTTCAAACGAACCAACATACCTGAGGTTGGTACACTTTAATTCCTATAAACGTGAAAAAAAATGAAGAAGAAATTTAAAATGTAAATACACGTCTTGTGGAAAAAAATAAGAAGAATAAAAAAAATAACATACTATAGATCACAGAACTCCAATAAGATTGAAGTCAAATAATGTAAAAGGTAATGAATAGGACAAGGAATATAAAGCTTTTGATATGTTTTCGAGCAATAAAGATGAAAAATGCAAAAGAAAATGGGAAAGCAAAGTACACCAATTTTTAAATCATATTACCATCGACAATAATATGCTAAAGCATCCCACTTCCAAATACATAGTGGGCCTTACATGTAGAAAAATTGAAAGCAATTACGTGTGGGATGAAAACTTGATTTAATTGAAAATTTAAAAGATCATTATGCCCTCGTTCTAATAATGAATGTCTCACAATTACCCTCAAATTTATAGGTTGACATATTTTCTTAAGGGTCAGATGGGAATTATCACTAAAGCCAATGAAATCAATATGAAAAAGCTGAAGCATTCACTTGTGTTTGCCTTTCCAATGATGATATATAATCTAATAATATATACATGCACGCATCAATTCAGCTCTATTTATATTTCCAATACAACCTATTTATTATATTTATTACACACATGAAGAGGAGAATTCGTTCTATAATAGTAATATATATGCACAGAGAAATTTATATCCATTTGTATTTATTATACACAAAAACAGAAGAACTCGTTGAAAATCAAATAAGTGTGAACGCATACCATAAATGAACACTGCTCCTCGCATCCTCTCTTTTATATAGAGGTACGATGAAAACAAATTAAATAAAAAAAATTGCAGTCAAAAATAGAAAAAGCAAAAAAGAAAAGTTATTATAAAGTTTTTCAATTAAATTGAATTAATTAAAATTAAAAACAAATATTATATTATTTAATTAGAATTGAAAAAATTACATTTTATCATAAAATGAAAGGAATTTTAAATCGAATTTTTTTTTTTTAATATGAAAAAAAGAAATTTGAAAATAATTTTCAAAAAATATATAATAAAAACAGAACAAATTAAACAAAAGAAAGTTACGAAAATAAAATAAAATAATATATAAATATTATTTAATTAAAATTAAAAAAATAAATTTTATCATAACAGAAAAGAATTAAAAAGAATTTTAAAATTTTTTACTAAAAAATCAGGGGAGCAAGAACGAAGTCACATTGTTTTCAATCATTTCTCAATTTTTACACGTCACTTCACTACAATCACTAACTCTACTGCAATATTTCTTCATTTTCACACACTACTTTACTTCATTCAATCCAATACTAATAAAGAAAAGAAACTAAATAATTTAACAAATTAAAGAAAAAAAAGAATTGTTGGCAAAAATAGAACAAAAACAAAAACAACAAAAATGTTATTATAAAGTTTTTTAATTAAATTGAAATAATTAAATTTAAAAATAAATATTATTTAATTAAAATTGAAAAAAATACGTTTTATCATAAAACAAAAAGAATTAAAAAGCATTTTAAATTCGAAAAAAATATTTATAATATGAAGAAAAATAAAATTTAAATTTTTTTAAAAAAATATATGTTAAATCAAATAAAAGAAAGTTACGAAAATTAAATAAAGAATAAATAATTGAAATTTAACTAAAATTGAAAAAAGTAAGTTTTATAATAAAGAGAATTATTTATAATATAAACAAACGGAGATGGAGACAAACTTCTTTATGATATATGGAGAGTTTCAGTGATGGAGAGTTTTCTCCATATTTTTGTTTTTTTAAATTTATTTTGTTCATCATATAAATATTTTTTTATTTAAAATTCTTTTTAATTTTTTTCTCTTTATGATAAAATTTAATTTTTTCAATTTTAATAATTTAATTAAAAAATTTTATAATAACTTTTTATTTTTTATTTTTGCCAATTCTTTTTTCCTTTAATTTGTTAAATCATTTAGTTTTTTTTTTATTAGTATATCGGTGTAAAATGATAGTTATAATTCGGTTCACTTAATTTTTTGAAATTATATTTTATTCCATTATATCTTATTCAATGTTCTAATATTTGAATTTTCACAGAATAAAATATCATCTAAATATTGCAACTGGGCACAACTTTATAGAAACAATGCCGCAATAAGTGTCTCTTTTATGAAAAAATATATTTATAATATAAAGAAAAAAGGAATTTTAAAGCAATTTTCAAAAAAATATATATAATAAATCAAACAAAAGAAAGTTATGAAAATTAAATAAAGAATATATAAATAATTTTTAATTAAAATTGAAAAAAAGTAAGTTTTATCATAAAGAGAAAAGAGTTAAAAAAAATTTAAATAGGAAAAAAAAATTTATTTATAATATGGAGAGGTTTCTCTCTATCTCCGTTCCTCATTTATTTTTATTTTTTAATGTGTTTTGTTCATATTATAAATAATTTTTTTTCTATTTAAATTTTTTTTAACTCTTTTCTCTTTATGATAAAACTTGCTTTTTTCAATTTTAGTTAAACATTATTTATATATATTTTATTTAATTTTTGTAACTTTTGGTTGTTTGATTAATTATATATATATTTTTTAAAATTGCTTTAAATTTTTTTCTTTATATTATAAATGGTTTTTTCATAAAAGAGACACCTGTTATGGCACTGTTTCTCTGGAGTCGTGCCCAATTATCGTATCTAGACGATATTTAATCCTGCAAAAATTCAAATATTATAACATTGAACACGAGATAATATAATAAAGCATAATCTCAAAGAATTAAGCGAACCGAATTGTAATTGTCATTTTATACCAATATACTAATAAAAAAATAAATGATTTAAAAAATTAAAAAACCAAAAAAAAAAAAAGAATTGTTCGCAAAAAAAAGTTATTATAAAATTTTTTAATTAAATTAAAATAATTCAAATTAAAAATAAATATTATTTAATTAAAATTGAATAAATTATGTTTTATCGTAAAACCAAAAAAAATAAAAAGAATTTTAAATTGAACAATAAATTATTTATAATATGAAGAAAAAGAAATTTTAAAATAATTTAAAAAATATATAATAAAAACAAAACAAATTAAACAAAAGAAAGTTATGAAAATTAAATAAAGAATACATAAATATTATCCATTCCTCATTTATTTATTTTTTTAATTTATTTTGTTCATCATAAAAATATTTTCTTTCTATTTAAAATACTTTTTAATTCTTTTCTCTTTATGATAAAACTTAATTTTCCAATTCTAATTAAATAATATTTATATATTTTTTATTTAATTTTCGAAGCTTTCTTTTGTTTAATACGTTTTGGCTTTATTATATATATTTTTAAAATTGTTTTAGAATTTCTTTTTCTTCATATTCTAAATAATTTTTTATTCGATTTAAAATTCATTTTAATTCTTTTTATTTTGTGATAAAACGTAATTTTTTCAATTTTAATTAAATAATATTTATTTTTAATTTGAATTATTTCAATTTAATTAAAAAACTTCAAAATAACTTTTTTTTTTGTTTTTTGCTTTTGCTTTTTATTTTTGCCTGCATTTTTTTTGTCTTTAATTTTTAAATCATTTATTTCTGTTATTAGTATATTGGTGTAAAATGATAGTTACAATTCGGTTAACTTAATCTTTGGAGATTATGTTTTATTTCATTATCTCTTATTCAATGTTTTAACATTTAAATTTTTGTAGAATGAAATACCATCTAGATGCAGTAATTGGGTACGACTCCATAGAATTAGTGCCACAACAAGTGCCTCTTTTATTTTAGTTATGATTAGGAAGTTGTTAGTCAAAACAAAGGAAATGATAATGAGATGAACAGTACAAGACCAGTTTGGAAATAGAGTATGAAAATGAATATGGCTCTTCAAATCTCTCTTTTAAGAGAGAGTAAAAAAGTAGAAGTAGATTAAACAAGAAAAAGAAAAAGAAAAAGAAAAAAGGGACCAAACTAATTTCAAACCGATTAAGTGTGAAAACTAATGTGACAAAAATGAATAGTGATCCTAAACTTTCTCTTTTAAGAGAAGGTAGAGATATTTCATAATTTTTTATTAAAATAGGTTAAAACTTTTATCAAACTTTGACAGGCATTTCCAAATCTCATTGACCTTCGAAATAAAATTCACTACAAATCGAATATTTTTATTTAGCACCATTGGTGTGGTACTTAAGTGTCTTTAATGAAATATAAAATTAAATAAATTACATAATTTTACGTTTAACTAAAATGATCAAATGATGAAACATAAATTGGTATTATAGCAACACCATTCAAGCATTATTGTTAAAGACCGATGGAAAACAAAAGAAGCCGTTAGATCTGATCAAGGGTTTTTGGTACACAGTCTTCTGAGTACACACGCCTCCGTTGCGTGTTTCTTTCTTCTTTCACTACCTCTTCGACTCCACTTCCACGGAAAACCGCTTTTGCTTTGTAAATAAAGCGGTTTCCCGTTAATCAGAACTTGCAGGTTTGATATTGTACTTGAGATTATGCTGTTTTTAAAAGTCACGATATAGTAGTTTTTTCAAACTTCCAAGCACATTAAGCTGAATATATGTGTCCAGTAATCAATTTACTTTTACTTAGGATACTTATGCATAGTAAAGTTCCTTTCTTTTCATTTTTTTTCATCTTAGAAGGAAAATTTCTCTTTTTTGATACCAGACTGAAAAGAAAGCTATTTTATAAGACTCACAATCTCGCATGGTTCTCCTTTTTCTTCTAAAGTTGTAATTTTTGCTGCGAAATTCGCGTTTTTGCGTGAGATGTGAAATATTATATTAACTTCAATAATACGGAGGCACGCATATCTGCAGATGCCCGTTTTGAAATGAATTGATGGCTGCACGATACGGAGAAAATAATCCTTGTATATGTGAATATGGGGTGCGGCAGGAAAAAAAAAAATATCTTCTTTCATTGACATTTTATTTTGTCTTTTCAATGGTAGGGATATTTTTGTGAGCGGGGAAAAACCCGAAGTTTTCTCATAAATATCCCATTTCTTTGATTTGTGCTATCCTTATTTGTATCATTGAAAAAATCTTTTGTTTGGATATTTTAGGCCATTTAAAAATCCTCAATAATGCCTGGTTTATGAAGGTTTTTTCATGGTGTCCAAAAGTGGAGTTGTACATTTATTTATTTTTATTTTTTTTTGCGCATTGCCAAATTTTAAGGAGATAAAGAATCTTGCTCACTTACATTTAAGAGGGAATAACAGAATCCGCTTTTGCACGAGGGTGCTCCATAGATGTCTAAACCTTTTGTTGAGTTTTCACTAATTAATTTATTTACTCTTCCAGCATTATTATGGGATGACAATGCAGCATTTCAATTATGAGATATTTATTTATAATTAAGAGTGTTTCTCATACTGTTGACAACTAAATATACTGTCAAACACTACCTGTCTTTTCTATACATGTACAAAGTGTTTTTGTTTAATCCTTTCCCTCGTTCTGTTGTCTGTAGGCCAGAAGGTTTATTTTGAAGATACACAATGACTGGAGAGAAGAATGTAGAAAATGGTATTCTCTGCCTCTTGATTTATAGCCAATGATATTTATATTCGTTTTGCATGATTGAATTCATGAAATGCTTTTGATGAAGAGGGAAAAGAACATGCAAAGAGCATTAGTTTTAATACTGTGTTGATGTCCTCTGAAGAAATCAATTTATTAATTGCTTTAGGCAGTTTATCTTACATGTTCTAGAGCTTGGACACTTGTTTTCTGTTTAACAATAATGCCTCTTCAATTTACAAAATAAGGGTATATAGGTTTACGAGTTCCAAATTTCCAATATTAAGTTATAAATTCAAAAGTTGATTTATATATTCTCTCATGTAGTATTGTGTATATAGTGAGTGAATTTAGATCCACATGTTTCAGCTTATAAAATTTGTAGAAAAATATATATCTGATGCAATTAACCACTTGTTACAGCTGAGCCAATAGCTCCTGGTCCAAGTTCTGATTCCTCAATTGATCAGTCTGGAAAAGATATGGTATGCCTTAATCCACATTGTTTGGCATCAGGATATTCGTAATACCTTTTCTGCTTAAGGTGGCTTTCTTGATTAATTATCTGAGATATAATTTGTTTACTTAAACGTTCTGTTCTCTTCCTTCTCCTTCCATTTTGTTTTGCTGGGTTTGATTCAATTATCATACTTATTGAGTTTCAGGCATTACTGTATTTGAGGTAAAAAAATTACTGAATAAAAAAATATACCTTTTCTTTTTGGTCAGACTATCAATATAATAGGTTTTTTTTTGCTAATTAAAGTTGTAGAAATTTTCGTTGTTGAATTGCGTACAGCATCTCACATTTCACTCTTGGCATCATAGGCTGTGAAATTGTAAATTTACTTGCAAGGATGATTTTGCAACCCCATTTGCTCTCCAACTTCCATACTGAGCTTTGTTCATGACATTTACTAGATCTTGTAGCATGTAGTTAACCTGTTATTCTTCTGTTTTCTGCATTCATAATATGCCTATATCGCAAAAATTAAGGATAGTTTCGGAAATTTAATTGAGAGGGAACTAGCCAAAAAAAAAAAATAGTCATTATTTTTAATTTGTGCATAACACGTGCGTTTTCTGATTTTTGACCTTTCAGGTTTTCGGGAAAGATGAACTACCATCTGCTTCTGTTTCTCTTGCACCTTCCATAGAGGAAGCTGCATCTGGTATCAAAGGAATTGTTATTGATCAAACATCAGGTTTGGAGCAAGGTGTTTATTATCCAACTACTAGCTATTATGACTATAACTATCCAGGTTAGAAGTTAACTGGTTCTGTATCAAAAAATAGTTTCTATAAACTGCACCTTTTCTTGATAGTGGGATAGTGAAGTTGGGAGAAAGATGTTGTTTCTAGTTAGGGTTGGAAGTCAGTGCAAGGTTTGTGCACCTTGTCGATATTGTTTATCTGTGAAGCTGAAGATCTTTTGTAAATCACTCAACTGGTTGGTTTAGTGTATTTACTGCATTATTATTTCGATATTATTGCAGGATATAATGGTAACATTGCTCAGTCGGATGAAAAAGGTTATTTTAACACAGCAGGTGGTTCTTACAAAGTATGTTCTTCCCACAAGACTAGAATTGTAAATTGATCCAGTGTATAATTTTGAAGCTTCTTCTCATGTAGAATTCCTATAATATGTTGTTTTGTTATTTTTACTCTTTAAATAACTTATTAATTCACTACTTACCAGGGTATCCAATCTGTTAATAGTTCACTTCTCTATTATATGCCTGGCTATGGTCCTTATGGATCAGACGCATTTCCATGCTACACATATGATTCTAACTATGCTGGAAATGGCTCATCTGGCCCTGCTGCTAAGTCTGGTACTATAAAGTCTATGATGGGACCAAGTGGTTCAGGGAAGTCCATTGCTTTTAACTCGACAAAAAGCAATAACAATATTTCGAGCAAGGCTTCAAGTTTGAATTGGAATCCGAGAGAACAACAGCCTGCTTCTAATTTTTCAAACTCTATCCGTCCTACTCAGCCACTCGAGCCGTTAAACAAGGTATATCATGTTTTCTTCTGGGTTAATCTGAGCTTCATATTCTTCTAAACGACCTATATAATGTACTGTAGTTGTTAGCTGCTACAACATAAAACTTAAACTGGCACTTGGTATTCCTTTTTCTTATTTTTTGAAGATTTTTTGTTGTGTGCAAGTAATCATTAAAAATCTTAGTGTACATTTGATACGTTGCAAACATGACTTGACAAAATAACGAACTAGATCTTTAGCTTTTGTTCTTTCTTATTTATTGTGTTGTCCCTACCAAACATGCACTTAGTTTATTGGGATCTGTATTTACTAAATCTTTTGATGTCATGGTTTGTCTGCCCTGGTGTCTTGAAGACATGTTTTCTTTGACTTAAAGTTGTCATCTGTTGCAGTTAGGATCTGGTTTCCGTTCGACTGCCCTTCCAAATGGATTCCAACCAGTTGGAAAATTTTCATCGTTCGCAAACCGAAACACAGGTGGTTTCATGCACTATGGTCCAGTGAATTATCAATCAACTGGCAGAGTATGGAACAACAATAATGGATATAAGTCAAGAGAAAATTTTAGAAAAAATGGAGAATTTGGAGCATCAACAGAACTAACTCGTGGTCCTAGAGCCAACAATAGGTGCAATTCCACGCAGCTATCAGCTGAGGTTGAGCAGCCAGGGCTGGCTATTCCAAGGGACAAATATAACTTACAAGAGTTTCAAATACAATATGCTCAAGCAAAGTTTTATGTGATCAAGTCATATAGCGAGGATGACATTCACAAGTGCATCAAATATGAGGTTTGGTCAAGTACTCCGAATGGCAACAAGAAATTAGATGCTGCTTTACGTGATGCGAATGCTACATCGAGCGAATCGGGAGCGAAATGTCCAGTCTTCCTATTCTTTTCTGTAAGCTTGTTTCATTTTTTCCTTTTATTTTGCAACTCAGCAGTCGATATTTTTGTGGTTTGTGATCTTTTGCTATAGTCATCTTAACTAAACCTCTGTTTATCATTACATAAATCATGTACTCAGTTTTTTAGTCTGATTATGCTTTGTTTTAGTAGTTTCAGTCACTCATGCTATGTTTGGTAGGAATGATATGATGGAACTGACTTTATTAAAGAATAAAAAGAAACTAAAATCCTGTACATTATACTGACTATTCAGTCATGTTCCGTACTGCTCACCCAACATGCATTTCTTTTATTTGGAGTGATTTATACCTTGGTTTATATCCAGGTGAATGCGAGTGGACAGTTCATAGGTGTAGCTGAGATGACTGGGCAGGTTGATTTCAACAAAAATATGGACTTCTGGCAGCTCGACAAGTGGAACGGTTTCTTCCCCGTGAAGTGGCACATAATTAAAGACGTTCCCAATATTCAATTAAACCATATTACCCTTGAAAACAATGATAATAGGTCCGTGACATATACCAGGGATACACAAGAGGTATTTTTTCTTAATTTGCAACCTTCTTTTAGAGCATATTGTATTAAATCAAATTCGATTTGAATTCTAGCCTTGAACTTGTATGAACATGGATGTGCATGTAATTTTAATTGAACTTGAAATTAACTATATGCTTTATAACATTCTTTGATGAACACTATTTACTAAGATTTCCCTATGTTTTTATTTAGCAGAGTCAGTTTCATAACGTTGACAGATGCTTTTGTAATTATAATTGTTCTTAACAGATTGGACTGAAGCAAGGGTTAGAAATGCTAAGCATTTTCAAGAATTATTCAGAAAAGACTTCTATATTAGAAGATTTCAACTTCTATGAAAATCGTGAAAAGTTACTCAAAGCCAAGAGGAATGCAAAACCAGCCTCTGAAACCAGAGAATCCCATAATCATGATTCAGGGGTGAGTTTTCCTTTCCTCCATGTGTGCAATGTTTGGATACTTGTAACATTAGAACAACACGGTTGGCATAATGCCTTGATGGCCTGTTTGGTGAGTTGGTCTAGATTGTATTGGATATATTAAAGAACAAAAAGAGACTGGGTTGTATTGGACAGTATTTTAAAGAAAAGAAGCCAGGATGTGGTCTATAATAATGTAGTAGGAGTTGAGTACCGAACATACCTTGAAAGGTTAGTGATTTGGGTATCATGCTTATGGCTTGGCTATCAGTTCTATCGACTGCGTAATGTGAATGTATATCCACCATTTTCTATGCAACAATAATTTTTGGGTTTTATTTTTATTCCTAACCATTGAAGTTTAGAGGCATTCATCCTTGTGCTGATGCATTGCTTCCTCATTCTTGGATAACAATTCTAACCTACTTTGCTTCATGTGATTGGAGATGAATTTTATTTTAGTTGATTGTTCATATTATTAGATATATATATATATATATATAGTCTTCTAGCAAGAATCACCTTATCCTTAATCTCTTAAAAGAATGGATGTCTGTGACTCATTCGAACTTGTGCCAAATAGATGATGCTGTTTTTTATTCCATAATTTTAGAGCCTATTTGGGAGTGATTTTGAGAATTGATTTTTTGACCATTAGGAGAAAAGTGGAGTCCATCTGTGAGAGAAGAAGTCAAATATCACGACTGTAATAGTGAAATAACGGTCAAAAAATCAATTTTTTTGGTGAAAAAATCGCTTCCAAACAGGCCCTTACTCTTTTTCTTTATTCTGATTACGTTAAAATTACCATTTTGTGCTGGTACAGAAGCATGTGAAGGGATGGATTGGATGATTGGTGAAGGATTAACGAAGAGCAATAGTTTCGGATCAGTCCCAATTACGTTTCTCGTACAAGAGTAGACAAGTGCCTTGAAGATTGAATTTGAGTTGGAATACAAGAATTCTGCAGTGTCATTGATTTTTATTTTCCGATTCCCCCATGAATTTAAATTTATAAAATTGATTCGAATTTCTTCATGTTTCTTGGTTTTAGTTTTGGTAGCTTTTGGTTTTTAGTTTGAAACTTTGTCCAATTCTTCAATTAGAGGAAATTGTTTTTCTTTACTAAATATTATCTTGTTTGAGTTATTTCTTCCTATTTGGATTCTTATCCATGCTCATTTAAAGTACATTGGACCTTCTTATTCTTGTGTATGCCTGTGTCACAGTCACGTGTGCGGGTGCAATGAATGTAATGTTCACGTGCCGAGAATGAGCATGTTGCTTAAAAGTTAACTTGATAAAGAAGGAACGTGACATTTTAGTACAATAAAGGAAACGTGCCGTGAAGGTGCAAGGAATGTGCAAAGTTCGTAGTTTTGTTTGTAGTTTTATGAGTGGATTACTGAAGGGGAAAATCTTTGAATGATCTGCCTGACACATAATAGTTGCAGACAATTATAAGGAAAGAATTAGAGCACACACAAATGGAGATCTTGCAAGGAAGAATAACGAAGATTACCTAAAGGGAAAATCTGGGGCTGAATTTAACAGAATCAAAACACTCCGCTGGTGAAGTTTCGCCGGGAACAGAAGGTTAATGTGAAAAGAGAGTGAAATTTCGTCGGTAATCTCACTTTAAAGAAATTTTTTGCCAAAGTGCAAAGCGAGGAGGAAGGGTTTGCTTTTTATAGGCAAATGTGTGACAATTCCATGCTGTCATATCTTCTGGCATAAATTGGACCGTTAATCAGTGAAGAGATCAAGATCCTCAGAATCCAAAGCCATGGGAGATGAAAATTTGAAATCAATGTACCAGATCTACAATGCGTCTCGTGTGCAAATCATGCATGCAGGCAAATGATGATTTCACTGATGACTTCGGCATTTCGTGCGAGTAGTTTTGGTTGCTAGTTGGATATTTTGTCTCTGATTCTTCAATTGAAAGAAATTGTTTATCTTTTACTATATGTTATCTTATGAGTTTTTTCTTCCTATTTGTGTTGTTGGCACGCCCCTTCGAGAGAAAAGTAATTCGTCAAAACTTTCAAGAAGGTTGGGAGAATTGTATTTAGTAGACACGTGTATACCGTGACTCGTGTGTCTATCAGTAACGCCATACGTCCCACTATGAATGTGATTGTGTTGATACGATTATTACACTATACTTATATATGAAAGAGGAGTTTAGCAAATTTGTTTTGGGTACAAAATGTCATGAGCTCAAATTGTGTCTCCAATCTAATGATTTAATATTAAATGTTGATCTCGTTTTCTGTTGGGTCTATTTTCACAATTAGTACTAGTCCCACTCGTGCACATGTATGGAAATTTCGACGATTGTAAGATAATAACCAATCGACAACAATTTTAAAGAAGCAAAGTTATCTATCCTTAAGCTAAAATGAGTGGATATTCTGCAAGAGAGAAAATGAATAATAGTTTCAAGTATGTGGATTTGCATTAGTTTTTCCATGTTACATTGTGAGGTATTTATAGCATTACAAATGAAATGGTGGCACTTGGATGAAAATACACGTGTCTTTATCTTCTTAATCCAAGCATCTTATCATGGGCATATGTTTTGAACTGCTAACTTGTGGTGTACACAATGTTTATACAGATTCGCTACTTTGTTGATAAGACTCGACATTTATACTCATTATAAATGTCCCATCAATCATTTCTAAAAGATTTTGTATATAAATTCAGGATCTTCCTCGCGCAGGTGGCCACTAAATGCAAGGGCTTCGAACTCCTCCGGGGCCCTTCACCTCGGAGCTTCAGCCTCAATGGAAGAAATGGGCCTCAGACTATTCTCTTCTACCTTACCATAAGACACGGGCCTTAGACAATTCTCTCTAACCTCGTCACTCGTGTGTGGAGTTTCGCTGAGGTGGTTCCAATACTTTGAGTAGGTCGACTACTTCACTAAGGAGCCTTAGTTATTTGCCACATGGATAAGAGGCTCTGGTGAGAAAGATGCTGGTTGCATAATTCGTATATCAAGCAAATTATATTTGCAATATTGTGTAATATGTGATGAATTAATTTAAAAGGATTAATTTACTGATTTTTTGTTCAACTATACGAGTTCATGTGAGGGATCAGTGTAACCCTTTAATAAAAACTTAAGAGAGGATTAAATATTATAAACCATATTTGATAAAAGTAAGAGAGAAATAATGAGACACGTGTCATTATATGAATGTCTAGTTGAAAAAGTAACAATTTTGACAAATAACTACCCGTCAAATGAATGGATGGTCTTATGTGTTCGTACATCTGCCCTTACAAATTCATAAATCAAATACGAGCTCAACTCACTCAAATTTAAAGCTCATTTTTTTGAAAATGGGGATTCGATTTGAGATGTTCCCAATATTCCTCTAAAACTTATTATCCTTGTAAACAATGATAATGGGTCCATGTCATATACCAGGGATACATAAGAGGTACTTTTTCTTACTTAAGTTACGACATTCTTTTTGACCAGGTCGTTTTAAATCAAATTCTAGCCTTGAACTTGTAAGAATATGGATGTTCATGCAATTTGAATTGGACTTGAAATTATCAATATTCTTTACAACATTTTTTTAATGTAAACTATTTACTAAGATTTCCCTATATTTTTATGTCAGAAGAGACTATTATATAATATTTTGACCGATGATTTTTCAATTATAAATTGTTCTTAACAAATTGGATGATTGGCAAAGAAGTAATGACGATCAATAATTACATATCAGACCTAATGCCACTTCTCATACAACTGACAAGAAAAGAAGAGTGGCCCCCAGGGTATATCTCCAAGTGGTAAAAAAGGAGGGTGGAAAAATTCATTTTTGTTTGAGGCTGCTGCGTCAAGGGTTCGAATCCTGAAATATGGATTTGGCTCTTGGGTAAGTGCAAGTGTATAAGCAACCTTCTATCCTATGCCCTTGGAGGCATAACCTGCGATTTACCTCCCTCACGATGCTCTAGGGCAGGGGCAGTGGGGGACCCTTAAAGTTGGGGTTCAACCCTTTTTTTTTTTTACAAGAAAAGAAGAGTGCCTTGAAAATTGAATTTTAGTAGGAATACAAGAATTCTGCAGTGTTGTTAATTTTTAGTTTCTAACTTACCTGTGAATTTAATTTATAAAATTGCTTCGAAATTCTTCATGTTTCTTGGTTTTAATTTTGGTACCTTTTTGGTTTTCAGTTTGAAACTTTATGTCCAATTTTTCAATTAAAGAAATTATTTTACTTTACTATATATTCGTATCTTCTTTGAGTTGTTTCTTCCTATTTGGATTCTTATAATGCCCATTTTAAAGTACATTAGACCATCTTATTGTTAAGTGTGTAAGGCCGTGTCACAATCATGTGCTAGGAACATGTGCACGTGCAACGAATGTAACGTGTACGTGCAACGAATCTGCAAAAATAACATGTTATTTTAAGGTTAACATAATAAATAATGTACCACATTCTCATGCATCACGTGCAAGGAACGTGAAGTTCAAGTAGTTTTATGATTGGATTATTGAAAGGGAATATCTTTGAATGGTCGGCTTGATACATAATAGGCGGAAAAATAAATAGTTTAACGCAAGAAATAAAACATACACAAATGAAGATCTTGAACCGAACAAATCCGTAACACTCAATGGTGAAGGTTCATCGGAAATAGAAGGTTACAGAGAAAAGAGAGTGAAATTTCGCTCCAAAACTCGCTTCCAAGAATTTTTTAGAAAGTACAAAATGGGGATGAATGTTTGGCCTTCTATAGGCAAAAATGCGTCACCTCCATACCTTCATATCATCTGGCGTAACTAGATTGTTAATTGACGAAGAGATAGCAACCCTTTAATCGAATGTGACTAGACATGAATATTGAAATCAATGCACCAGATCTACCACGCACATCGCGCTAATCATACATGTCACTAAATGATGACCACTATGATGACCCCGACTTTTGAAATCAATGCACCGAATCTGCCATGCACCTCATATTCTAATAATGCATGTAGTCAAATGACGGTTGCAATGATTAATAAAAGAGGTATTTTCAAAAGCGTTTAATTTCATGGGTGTCAATTGAAAAATGTCCACTTTTTAAATTTAAGCACTAAACTGTTTATTGTGCCCTTTAATGAAAAAAAGAAGCAGTTTATTTTTTTTTCAATTTGTTGCGGATTTCGAGAAGTAGCTTTCATGAGAAGCTATATTAAAATGATATTATCGACATTTCAAATGTCATTCTCGATATTTGAATTCTGTTTATTTTTTAAACGTACACATGTTAAATCACAATATTAAATATTCTCAACATTTTAAATATCTAGAATGACATTTCATTTCGAACATGACATTTCTCTACACTTGAAATGTAATTTTCGACGTTTCCGTGTTAATGAGAAAAATAGCATTAATTGTGATTTCACATGTGCACTTTCGGAATAAATATGGCAGGTTATGTGTCAAAAATTTATTGACCAATAATTTTTTTGCAAAAATGTCTATTTATTGTCTTTGTGTGGAATCATAAATTGTTCATAAAGGTATTTTGGTCCAAAATATTTCAAAATGGACATTTTTGCAAATGAACATGTGAAAGTGAACATTTCAAGTAATTTCCTCTTAATAAAATATAAGGAAAAATAAACTCATTGAAATTTTTTTTTTTTTTATAATGGGGGAACTCGCAACCGCTACTTTTCGAGTGCACACTGGGTAAACCTTTGAGCTAACGCAATAGCTTGTAAATCACGCCAACCAGGTAAATCGCACTAGGCAAACCCGGTGCGACAAGCTCGAACGAAAAAGTGTTGGTGGGGGAATTGAACTCGTGACCCAAGACCTCTGCGTTCACTTACTCCACCAACTCGGTCACCCCATAAAGGGCCATTGCAACTTCTTTATGTTCATGAGAAGAGCGCAGAGGTTGGGAGAATTGTATATTGTACAATATCGGATACACCATCACTAGTATGTCTATCAATAATAATGGGGAGCGCCCCAAAAAAAAAAAAAAAAAAAAATCCCTTACAAAAAAAATTGGGC